TCTTTATATTCTTTATTTCTATTTCAAACACACGTGTGCCGTCAGGTGGATTTTGAGGATCCACAGATCACATTGCAAGCTCCGCAATGTAAGAGATTCGAACACAGGCCTCACCTGAGTCCTTGTTCAATCTGGAGGGTGCAAACTGGGTAAAATCCTGATCAAAACTGAACTGGAGCAAATCAGTTACGTCCCTTGCCAGTGGTGCTTCCCACTGGAGCACTGGGCCTCAGACAGCTAAAAAGTCCTGCCATCAGGCCTCTTTCAAAGGACATTCAGTCCAAGAGCTTTTTCATGCCTGCAACTTCCCAGTTCCAGCTTTGCCTCTTTGAGCATATGCATAAAATAAGGCCCGATCATCCTTTGCTGAGAGACTGTTAGACCTCAAGGATGCCCCTTGATATCTAAAAGCAACTCTCCATTCTTCCATGGATGATGCCCAAAGGGAATTGGGCATCTTTCTATGGGTACCACTTCTTGTATTGCCATGAAGCTTGGCCACATGGACCTGGATGGAAATGGTGCAAGGAATGGTGAATTCACTCCCTGGGTTCCATACAAGGTATGGAGAAGTTTGGATGGGATTTCAGCACCTTGGAAAGCTGGCCAATTTAGCCTGAACCACTTTAGATACAACTAATTTTTCCTTAGGTCTGAACATAGGCTTGAAAACCAGGAAAAATGTGTAATATGGATGAATACACAGAACAGAGAACACAGAACTCTTTCTCAGGTCTTTTTTGGACCCCCACCCCAAGATCTCCACTTTTTTGCAGCAAAGAACTGCAGTCGATTCATCAAGGCTGGGAAAAATAACCTCAAAATATTCTGTGCTCCGCCCCGCAGTTCTTTCCAAGCTGTCACATCTCCAGGCCCAGTGGAGAAGCTTGCTTCAGAAAATTGGAAGCTTTGTGTACCTTCTTAGCTTTGGAAAACTTTCTCACAGATTTGGTTGCTTTGGAAGGCTTGTTCGTCCCTTCCAAATGGGCAAAACAGCCCGATTTCAAGCCAACAGGTGCATCCGTCTGCATCTTCGAGAGCTGAGGCAGATGCAAAGTTCCAAACACAGTCTGGTTTCGTTTGAGCTGCTTTTGGAAAGCCCTGGCTTCCTTCTGGCAAAATCCTGATGCTCTCTGAAGCAGCCTACCTGGTTTCTGCATTTGGGCTGCATCCAAACATCTGCTCTCTCCACGCTAAGTGACTTAGAACCTGCAGCAGCAGCTGGATGGTGGAGTGAAGAGAACTAATGATATGTGAGAAATCCGATGGGAGAGGGTGCAAAGCTGAGCGTTTTCCATAATGCAGCCCCCCAAATTCAGCTTTGCCAACTCTGCGCTCCGTATGGCGCCGTCCAGGTCTGCTTTTGGATTTTCCTCTCTGAGATGGGTCATGATTTGCATACTGAAAACACTTGCCCCCTTCGGAAAGTCGGCCAATTTGCACCCAGCAGCATCTGAGAAGCACATGAGCCCTCATGCGATTTCTGCAGATCGCACGACGACCATGTGCTTTTCTGGTGGTAGTTTGCAAACCATGTGGAACATATTGCAATTTGCATTATTTATTTATTCGTTTTTTAAAAGCTTTTCTGTCCTGTTCTTTACCAAAGCCTCATGATGGTATAAGAATATAAAATTTAATTTAATTTAATAAAATATATTATTCTATTCGATTCTAATATATAGAATATATACAACAAATATATACTTTTGTTTCTTATTATAATGATATTGCACCTTTTTCCCTTTCAAGGAACTCAAGGCACCTTACCTACCCCTCTTCCTCTCAATCTTATCTGCGCAACAACAACCCTGTGAGGTAGGCTGGGCTGAGAGTCTGTGACTGGCCTTAAGTCACCCAGTTCACTCCATGGCTGAGCGGGTTCCAGAACCCGGATCTCCCAGGCCCTGAGTCCAACACCAAGGCCTCGCTGGCTCTCCCTAAATGGCATCAAACCAAATCTGTGCAAATTCCCTTAGGATTTATTTTTGAAGACCTTGCTCTGCCTTAGAGACTTGCCCCACTTCGGATAATCAGATCAGAAATGGGCAGAGAATTTCACGGAGCTCAGACAGGCTGGACTGCCCTGCCTCGCACATCCCTCGAAAGAACCAGGCTGTGGGGCATTTACCCCAGAGATCAGTGTTATCCTTCTGTATACGGTTGCCCTGCAGCCATGGGGAGTTAACACTTAAGTGCCGTTTCTTCGCTTCTGCGGTGAGGGCCGCCCCATACGTTGGACAAGCAGCATCAGGTTGTGCCCACTTTCCACCGATAGCCATGATCCCCGGATTGGGACTGGTCCCTTTCTTCTAGACATCCTTTTAGGATCAAGGCTTACCTTGTCAAGGAATCTCTGGGATGCATTTGCATTTTGCTGGAGATTAAAGGCAAGATGCTATTGATTTGTTAATTAGCCAGATTTTTTGAAGTTTATCAATGAGATCAAGCAGTCCCTGCTGAAGCGTATCACTGGATAAGTATCTTCCGTCAGAAAATCATTATAAAGATTAAAAGAAAATGCCAAACAAGACAAAAACCCAGAACCAAACCCAGACTCGGGAAACAGTGTTGGATTGCAGAAATGAAGCTGGTGTAGTCATTTGGCCAGGTCTTGGCCGCTTGTTCAAAGGGGAAGAAATACAAGCATGGGTGAGAAGCCAGCCATGGTTGTTGAAGGTATAGGTCAGTTGAAGGACCGGCTACGCACAAGAATCTGGTCCCAGGTGTTACCAAAGATAAGGACCACTTACCATGGCTTCCCCGAATTGTGTGGAGTTCTGCCATGCTGTTGTTGTTGTTGTTGTTCTTCTTCTTCTTCTTCTTCTTCTTATTATTATTATTATTATTATTATTATTATTATTATTATTATAACATTTCTATGCCGCCCCTTGCCGAAGCCTCGGGGCAGCTTACAACACAATAAAATACATTGAAATACAATAGAACATAATAAATTACCACTAAATACAAAAATACAAAAAAAAACACTGAAATACAAACATAATAATATAAAATTAAAATTAACAGTATAAAATAAAGTAAATAAAGAATATAGGAGGAGAAAAGAGAAGGAAGAAGAAGTTGCCCTGGCCAGATCATATATTTTAACAATTAAAATGATGTTTAAATAAAAAGGTCTTTACCTGGCGCCGAAAAACCAGTAACGACGGTGCCAGGCGGACCTCTTTGGGGAGTGAATTCCATAGGCTGGGCGCCACCGCAGAGAAAGCTGCGGTGTTCTGGAGACGGAGCCAAGCGATGACCCTTGCAAAGGCAGAATGTCCCACCCCAGAAGCCTGTGTGGACGTCATACGCACCATTTGCTGACGAGCTCAAATCCACATCGAGGGAGGGACTGTGGCTCTGGGGGAGCGTGCGCCTTGCATGTAGAAGGTCTCAGGTTGAACCCTGGATAGAGAAATGCCTGGGAAACCCTGGAGAGCCATTGTGGCCAGCGCAACAAGACTGGGCTGCACTTGCCAAGGATTTGGCTGTGTCTGAGGCAACGCCCTGTGCCCAGAGACCTTAAGAGAGTCCAGGGCACCCCATTCGCTCAGTCAAAGGAAAGAGGGCTCTGCTTTCAGGCAATGCATGTTTGGTCCATTTAGCACGGGCCCTTTGCTCATTCACTCACATGGATGTGCGCCGGGGGGAATGACAGTCGGAGGTGGACAGGGGAAGAAGCATTCTGATTAATTTCATTACCCTTTTCTTATATCATTTATTGCAATTATTTTGTAGGATAATGATGACCATGAGGGTTGGAATGAACCGTTCCCTAATCTGCCCCTGCAGAATCCTTAGGCTTCCCCTCATGCTTGGCACACGCCTGAGCTAAGCCAAGAGGAAGTCTGCAAATAGTGGCTTAACTTTGCGAACGGGTGCTTGCGGCTTCCCCATCCCTCTCCCCTCCCCACGCCTTTTTCCTTTCCTTTCATGTTGTGTTTTTGTTTTAGATTATACGCCTGTCTCCAGGGACTTTTTTTTCAACCTTGATCTCATCTAACCTGCTGCAGGACCACTGAACAAGGGGAAAATGCACCAAACAATCATCAGTATTTGTAATGCTCAGCCGTGTATGTTTCCTTCAAATGTATCTGAAATGCAGGAAGGACCGATTCATTTGTTGGCTCCTTCACTCAACCTTGTCAGTAAGCTTTGGAGCATGACAGGCGGTGGTTTCTCTCTTTTTCCCTAAAACGGACAAATCATTGGTAGATCTTGTTTTTAAGAAGGAAGTGACATGCCAGATGCCGATGCCCAGGCGTAGCCGGAGTCAAAAGAGACAAGCGATGACTCCAGAAAGTGTTATAATTGCCCTTAGTAATAATTCCATAAAGTGACAATCTTCTCTGCTGCTGTTAATGAGGTGTTTAGCTGGATAAATAGATCTTGTTAAACTGTTTGCACATGTGTGCTAACAAGAGACGAATCACAGAAACAACTTGCTTTCCAACATGCACAGAGAGCTTAAGCTTAAAATAAATAATGACATGCTATGAGCAATAATGAAAATTATAAAGATGGTTTGCACAATCACAGGCCTGCAAAGATTGTATGTGCAAGAGGGAGAGAAAAATCTGCTTTGTTTTGCATTCTAATTGCCTCTTTTCAAGCACGACTTCCATTCTGGTTCTGCACCAGCTCACAAGCTTTTTAAAAAGTCTGTATGCAAAGCTGTAGGCATTCTAGCATGTGCACAATGTTACACCCATTTGTGTATGCGGTTTTTTTCTCAACAGGCACATATTTTCCCAATCAGGTTCCCTAACATATGACTTCTCACATGCGATTTTCCTCAATGACAATATTTTTTGTGCAAAAATGTTCCCCATGCAGTTGGAATGCATTTTTGGATTGGTTCTGCATTGCAAAATTTGGAGAAGTGTAAAAAGTAAAACAGGCTGGTTTGCCTGTTAGGTTGCAAAGTATGAATTAAGTCATTTCATATAAAAATGTGAACCAAACATGACCTTCTCCTTTCTTTCCTTTGCAGACAAACAAGAGAGCAGGAAACTCCCCCAGACTTTTTTTATTTCTCAGACTATGAAAGGCATAATGCTGAAATTGCGGCGTTTCATCTGGACAGGTAAGGAACACTCAGTAAGAAATTTTACAAGAATTAAATACATGATGGGAGAGAAAGGAGGGGAAGACTAACAGAATCCTTTCAACATCAGTGTCAAGCTAAACAGGATCGCTTCTGTCCTTAATGATGTTAAATGGGTACGAAAACAAAACCACAACTTGAAGAGGGGAGAAGGCAAACCAAAATATTACAGTTTGAGAACTGTTTTGCTTTTTTTTCCCCTAGAGAAAAAGGGATGGAGACAGAAAATTGATTGTATGGTTACTTTATGCTGTAGCCTGAAGTTGCCACATCCGGAACCTTTGAATTGTGTAATAATTATATGGATGACCACCCATCATTCTGAGTGCTGATACTTGGTGGACCAAACCTCACTGCCTGTGTGCAGCGAGGGGATATCCAACTGCTTGCAAAAACCGCGAGCTCTGAGGAAGAGTGAACCGCTCTTTAGGTGTGAGGGTGAGGGGAAGCCGTTGGCCCAGGGATGATGGGACTTGCTCAGTAACTGCGAATACCGGCAGCTCAAGCAATGTGGGAACCCACCTGGGAGGGGGAAATGAAGGGGCCAGAATCTTGAACGAAGGTGACCCTGCCCTGCACATTTTCTCAGAAGCCGATTCTAGGGCTGGGTTGAACCCCTTTGGAGTCCATCCCTCTAGTTCCCGCAGGCTTCACCTTAAGCTTGGCCTAATCCTGCAACACGAGTCGAGCCAACAGGAAGTCTGCGGCTGCTCACAGCTTCACAACAAGCAGCCTTCCCCATCGGGGAGGCTGCAGGATTCGGTTAAGGGGGGCTGTGCGTGGCACGCAAGCCTCCCTCCCTGGAGACCAAACGTCTCAGCTGCTCACTGCAACTGGTCGTGGCGCACGCCGGGGAGGGCGCTGCTTGCGCAGTCCAGGGGCTCGTTTTCTGGCAAGCGCCCCACGCCCGCTGGGCACACGCACTGGGGTGTCTGCAAAGCGGGTTCAGTCCAGAGAACTGAGCACCGGGAATCCAACAGGCAGAGCCCGTGCACACCCCTGGCCATGTACACTGAGCCGGGATGTCGGCCTCTCTTTACGAGTGCTCCAGCTTGTGAGAGCCCCCATTCTGGGATGCCATTCCGAACCCTGCTGCAAAACGTTCCTGATACCTTCAGGAATATGTTTCTATCCACCTCATATAGGCTTTCAGAAAGAAAGGCAGGCATATTATCTTAGCGGTGGCAGCACCAAGACCCAGAGTTTCATGGAATCTGGTCTGATCAATTGCAGCCACTGATCTGCATGACTAGAAGAAGCCATTGCGATTAGGAACTGGGAAGATGGAGCAAACGTTTTCTTTCCCCTCCTCGTGGCATTTGCATTGTCCTAAAGGCCTAGCAATCATCCTGGGATGGTCTGTCCCGTTTCAAATTGCTGCTGGTTGGCCAAGAAGGGAATTCTCTCCCTCAGCTGAAGAGTCTCACGCACAGCTGAGGAATTCTGAGTGTTGGTAGAACTCTTTGCTGTCTGAGCCTATATAGGATTGCAACCTGGGAAAGGATTTTCTGAAGTTCTCAGAAGTTAGGCGGTTCTCAAACAAGAAATAAATGTATGTATGTCGGCCGTGTGCTCTGTGTGTGTGTAAACTGAACTGGGTGTTTTTTCCTAAATTGCTTGTAAGCCACCATAAAACCTAAGATCACCAACATGATCTCAAGATCTCAGAATCCCCGTATCTTGTGGTCCTGTTCCAGAATCCTGGATTTTCGCCGTGTACCACCAGTTGCAGGGAGACTGGTTAACATGACCAGGGAAATAAGGGATGTCACTCGTGACAAGAAGCTGTGGAGGACATTTTTCATATCTCCAGGTGAGCACAACTTGTCCAACAGCAGTGTGCTAATTTGCACTTTCCATTGAGAAAGATGTGATGTTCATCAGGCCGGTTTGCTGCCCCTGAGAGTCTCTCCCACAGGGAATCTGGCCGGAAAGGGCTCCATGAGCCTGGCGGAAAGGAGAGCCAGCCGGGGCTGGTTAATCTGCCCTTCATCAGGAGCAAAATAGTAAAGGTACAGGTAAAGGCTTCCCCTCAACATTACATCCAGTCATGCCTGACTCTCGGGGGCGGTGCTCATCTCCGTTTCCTGGCCGAGGGAGCCAGCGCTTGTCCGCAGACAGTCTCTGTGGTTGTGTGGCCAGCATGACTAAACACCGAGGTGCACAGAACGCTGTTACCTGCCCACCAAAGTGGTACCTTTTTATCTACTTGCCTTTGCATGCTTTCAAACTGCAAGGTTGGCAGGAGCTGGGACGGAGCAACGGGAACTCACCCCGTTGTGCAGATTCGAACCGACAACCTTTCGATCAACCAGCCCAGCAGCACAGAGGTTTAAACCACTGCGCCACCTGCAGTCCCTCAGGAGCAAAATAGGCCATCCTTTTCCTGCTGGATTGAGGCCGTCCAGCTCATGCCTGGCAGGCCTATTATCATTCCTCAACCTCGTCCTTAATAGTTGCTTTTCAAAGCCGGTGCTCCAGTGTCTGCCCAAGCATGGAGACTTAATGACGTGCAGCATTCTTAGCGTGGACCTCCAATGACTTAGTTAATAACACCTGATTGACTCAGGAAAAAAAGAAGAGGAACCCTCGGGAAGGTAGATGCTGTCCGTGTAAACATTTCAAGTGAGTCCCATGTTGCAGCTGCTCAGAATTCTCAGTTGGATTCCTCTGACTGACGACAGTAGATGCAGGGCGAGGCAGAGCTGCTCTGTGAACGCATGAATTATGTAAGGACCCAGAAAGATGGTGATCTTAACTGGCAGCCTGAACAGAGAATTCCTGGGCTTCTGCCCTTTCACGTCCCCAAGTCGCCTCGGCAGTTCTGATTTTAGGAATGATTTGGGTTGTGCCTTAGACCTCAGCATAAAACTTGGGGTGTCCATCCAACCATCTGTCCATCTGTCCATCCATCCACCCACCCACCCCTTGATCTGCCTCCCCTCCCCTCCCCTCCCCTCCCCTCCCCTCCCCTCCGCCATTATTTTTATTCTTATTAGAGGAAGGAGATATCATTGTGTTCCCACAATAACCAACTGGATGCATGTGTGAAATTCCAAATTGGACATCAGTTCAATAGCACCCTTCCACTTTCCTTCACAAGCATCTACATACCTGTACAGGTATATTTCCATAAAGTCTTTCAAGTCTTGGTACTGGACTAAAATTTAAGACCCTCACATTATTTCTCACCACCCTGTTTAAGCAGAGATGCCAACGAGACCAGAACTGCCCGTGAACTTAGTCTAGCATGATGAGGGCTTTGAGAAGTTCTGGAGGACACAAGATCCACGTTGGATCCGACCCAACAGCTGTTTCAGTGGGCAATCTGTTCACACACTGGCCAACCAGCTGCCTGTGGGGACCCACAAACAGGACAGGAGTACAACTGCACCCATGTTACCCAGCAACGGACATACATGGGAATATCCTCTCTGAGACTGGAGATCATATCAAGCTATCAGGGCTAGAAGTCATTAATAACCTTCTCTTCCATCCATTTGTCTAATCCCTTCTATAGCCCTGCAGACTGGTCAGCTATCACTACAACTTAGGGTAGGAAATTCCACAGAGTTCCCCCACCAATCTGCTTTATTCTAGACGGACTCTAGAATTATGAGAACTGTCGTCATGCGTCAGGAATAGGAGAAACGTCTACCTGCCCCCAGGAAAAAGATCCCATTAGGAGATTTCTTTCCTGAGACTCTCCCATGGGGAGCTTTGCTGGAAAACTCTAGTTAAAGAGCTACTTTTCTGCACAAAGAACCCGCCCTTTGTTCAGAGAAGCACGTCGGGGAGCAGGCAGAAACAGGGTCAGTCGATAGGCGCTGTTCCATTTGGAAAAGAAAATATGACAAGAGTGCATTACATGCAGAGGGGAGACTGGAAAGGGGTCAACAATTATTTAAATGACTTTCTACACATTTTGCAGCCAGACAAACCGCTGTAACTCCAGGCCTCTAATGAACGAGTGGTAATTTGCTAGCAAAAAAGAGACATATTAACCATGGAGGCCGTAGTTTTCAGAGTAATAGAAGCGGCAGTTTACCAAAATCAATGCCACGAAGTAAGTACTGGGACTTTTGTTCGTGTTAACCAATTGCAGGAGATTATAGATCTCCACTCCTGCCAACCCGCCACCCTGGGTAAACAAACAATAGCATCTCTGTTCTACTTCCCCCGGGGAAGAGAGATTAAGATCTTTTCAGGTCCTCTTTGAACATGCTTGAGATGATTATCGCTGTCCAGGTTTTGAAATGGCAAGAGAACGGCTGACTGTGCAGAGTCGCACTAATCTTGCTGCGGTGAAGAGACACGTACAGTGCTGCAGCAGGCCCAGACTTCTCCAGATATTTGACTCTAGAGGGAACCACCGTCTACCGCAGTGGCCTGGCAGGTGCCTGCAGGAACAACCACCCTGCTAAGCTTGCAGATTCACTCAGGTTGGGCCGAGATGCCCTCCAAGCTCCCACAAAACCTCAAGGGGCTGCACAGCTGCTTGGCAAGCATCCTCAGACAGGTGGGGCCTCTCTGCGGATGCAGAGGAGCCTCTTCATCTAAGAAGCTGCCAGACGGGGCCAACCTGTGATTCCCAGAGCCCCTCCATCCCAGCGCAACCTCACCAGATGGTACCTCCCTTGAGGATTGCCGGGAGCTGCCTTTCTCTTAGGCGTCCTCCCTTCCCCAAGGCCGAGCAAGCTTGTTTTTTGTTCCTGCAATCCTTGGAGAAGCGAGGAGCTTAGGGGAGGGGCACAGAGCGCCTGGCCAGACCGAGGCCCACCTGGAGTCCCATCTGGTCCCCTGGGTTTCCCCCGAGGACCCACCCCCTCCCCTTGAAGACACCCCCTCTCCCCAAGCCACTTTTTCTCCGTGGTTGCCAGAATTTTTCCCTATCTGAAAAAGTTGAAATGCTTCTGATTCCTGTATCTGCTTGTGAATCACATGATAGCCCACCTTCTGTCCTGCTCACAGGGCAATTAGAGAGCTTCCAAGCCACTACCTGTCAGTAATTTGGCTGAGCCCCCTTTAGCTTTGGCCCTGCCCCCCCCCCCCCCGCAGGCTCCCGCTGGAAGGCTGACCCCAAGGGGTTCGCCAAAGTGGAATCCAGCCCTCATCCAGAAGAGCTGCCCCCCCCAACTTGAAAGGGGATGTCAGGGTTGGTTGCATGCAGGTATAAGCAAAATTCAGTGGGTGCCTTTGAATGGGTACCTACTTCCCGTAAGGAAAGGTCTGCCAGGTAGCACATGATGGGGAAGAAGCAGGAGAAGAAGAACCCAAACGCCACACCCCAATCCATGTGACACCCCACAAGTTTCAAATCCAGATGTTTATCCTTTCATCAGCCGACAAAAGCCTTTGCCTGGGGGAAGAATGGCTCGGTTTTATTCTGTTTGCACATGCAAATCTCACGTTCCTTCTTTCCATTTGTGGAGGAATTTATGCCCTTTGCTAAGCTCTTGCCCAGAACCAAACGGGATGCCATCCTCATCCATCCCGAACTGTGTGTCAAGGAGAGTGCAAGCGCTCCTAGTGGCACTCGCGCTTCGAAAAACAAGAGCGGCTTGTCTTATCACGCGCCCCTTGCTGAATGCTCACGGTAGCACTTTCCCTTAGTACGTTCCTATTTCCATGTGTTCCGTTCTCGCTTTTCACACTTCGGAGCTGATACACCTACCTACCTATCTGCACGACATGATAAATGTGCCTGTGCCAATCACACAACCATGCCACGAGCTTTTCTTTATGCAACAGGAAGTGCAGAAAGAGCCTTTTATCAGGGCTGCGGCACGTGGGTAGAAGATGCCTCTCTCTCCCCAGCCATGATCTTTGCTAAAATCCATCCTGCACAACTACTAACCCCACGGTGCTGAAATGTTTTCTTCCTGTGGCGAACTGCATTGCGTGTGAGGGGTTGGTTTGCAGAGGTGGTTGCTAGGGAGGGAGTATTGGGCATTGTTATATCTTCCCATGCATTGCAATCCCAATTTAAAAAAAAGGCAGGGTACCTACTATTAAATCAACCAAAATAATCCTGATGTGATAGGAAGTAACACCTTGTGCATTGTGTGTAGAGAGGCCCTTAACGTCCCATTAAAAAAAATAGAATTGCATGCAAAAGAAGTGATAGTCCATACACTCGCATTGCTTCCAGTTGTGTGGACAAGGGGTATAGAGAGATGATCAGCCCATGCCCCACACAGATATGGGGTAGATGTTCTACCTCCAGTGCCACTGGACATCCAGCTGTGGATGGCATGGTGGAAATGGTGGGAGAGACATACCTAAAACCCAAGGCACATAGACCTGGATACTGGAGCCAGCATCCCAGAGAAAATGAGTCCATGCGCAGTGAATTGTAATCCTGTCCAGTGCATGCCAGCATCAAAGGCAGGGGTTACACTTGCTGTGGTTTGTGGAAGGATGTTTGCTTCTTGGCGAGATAGGTGCTTGTGGGCAAGATCTCAAGACTGTACCGTGTCTCATCAAAGCTTCATCAGGTTCAACAGAAAGCTAAAATATTCCTCCCTCGAAACAGCAGAATCAAAGTAGAGTAGAGTTGCAAGGGGCCAAGAGGGCCGTCAGGTCCGGCCTCCTGTTGTTGCAGGTCCCCAATTTATACCGTCTCACTCGGCTCCTCATTCATAGGAGGGTGAAGGGGCAGTTAAAAGGATTCCCCAGCTCCTGAAGGACCACCTTCCAAGCAGCTCATTGTCCACCCATGTGAGATTCCAAAATTTGTGCCTGAAGAAATTCCCAGGGACCCTTTTCTCCTCGTAGCTTTCTGCAAAAGCTTCCTTATGAAGATGATACAAAAAGACATTCAGGGCATTTCAGAGATGGATTGTGGGCCTATAGATGCTCCTGCTCGGCACCATACTGTCCGATTCGGTCGGATATGTGAAGTAGCTCCACATCACTGGTCAGTCATTGCCTCCCACAGAGGATGGTGCTCACCACGACTCTGGCCACTTCACACATGGATGAGTCAGTGTTGGCTTCACAGATGACTCACTGCAGGCAAAACTTGCGCACCATCTGGTGCCAACCCCAGCTTTTCAGCAGTCAGGGCACAATTTCATCTGTGACTCATCAAATGTTGAGCAAGCTAATGATTAAAAAAGCAGGGGGTGAGAGAATCAAGCCATCTACTTCTGGGAGTGAGCTGGCCCTTCATGAGGAGCAGGATCAGCTCTTTGAGTTATGTAGAGAAACCCAGTTGGAGTTACGTAGGTAGCAAATGGATGCCTTCATGTGAAAAAGTTGGAAAATGAATACTGAATTTATATTGGGTAGACACAAATGGATCTCTGCAGTCAGAAGTTGTTCTTCTAAAGGGATGGATAGGATGGGAGGGAGGGAGGGAGGGATGATAGACAGTGTGGAGTATATTTATCCCACCTTTCCTCTAAGGATATCCAAGGGGCAAGCAAGGGTTCCTCTTCTTTTGGCCCTTACAACAACCCAGTTGGGGTTCATTGAGTTGAGTCTTTGGCCAAACCAAACTGGTTCTGATAAGCCTGTGTGTGTGTGTACACAGATACATATCCAAGTGTTCCAGTATTACTGCGTTCTGTTTCTAGGCCACCTTTTTCCTCTTGCGAGTGACCCCAGGAGGTTCTCCTCCGCTCCGTGCTCATCTTCACAATGGGTTAGGCTGAGAACAAGAGACTGACCCAAAGTCACCGCCTTGCATGGCCAGTGGGACCATGTCACCCCCTGTGCTCTAACCACCACTCCACCCTGTCTACCTGTGTGTGCACCTGTGTACGCCACACGGGTAGGCAACCAGTTGGGGCCATGGACACATTTGGCAGCTTGGGGAACAGTCCTGGGCCCTGCCACAAGATGGCTGCCATGGGGCTCCTGGCAAAGAGCAAGTCAGCTTCCCCAGAGACTGACTCCAAGGCAGAGGGGCAGTCTGAGCCCGACCCCCTAAATAACTCCCACAAATCCCATTCCCAGAGCCAACATGAACCTGCTTCTTGGGCATCCAAGCTGCCAGGAGGAAAGCCCGCGTGGATGTTTTAAGTGAGAAGGACAGGGCGCTAAGGAGATTTTCCGGGGCGTGCTGATGTGCATCAAGGTGGGATCCTGGGACACGCTGGTGCCGCAGCTTCCCTGTATCCCACAGTGGATTTCTCCTCTTTCTGCAGCCAATAACATTTGCTTCTATGGAGAGTGTTCCTACTACTGCTCGACCGAGCATGCTCTGTGCGGCAAGCCGGACCAGATCGAAGCCTCCCTGGCTGCGTTCCTGCCAGACCTGTCTCTCGCCAAGAGGAAAACCTGGAGGAATCCCTGGAGACGCTCTTACCACAAGCGCAAGAAAGCCGAGTGAGTGACTGCCTTGCCATGCCATGCCGCAAAAGCTTTCCAGCGGCTCCGTGGCTATTTTGCCGGGTCATGTACAAGCCGCAGGTGGTTAATTTCCCATTGTTTTGCAGCCAGACATTAATTCAAACACTACTGAGAACAATCAGGCATATTTCCATTGAATTCAGCTGAATACGAAGGCAATCTAATTCCTCAGAGCTATCTGGCTGGCACACAGAATTCTTGCAGCTCTGGGGAAGTTTTTCCCTGCTCTTGTGCGCCCTTTGCACTGGAGTTTGATTCACGATTCTTTCCTTTACCTAAATAGCACATGTTTACCCAAAGCAGGCTATTGTGCTGCTAAAACATCTTGAAATCCTAGAATCATAGACCAAGAATATCGGACAACACAGAGGTCAGCATTTTCCCCCAGATAAATCCAGAGAAACCTTCAAAACAAATCTGCTTCTAAATCCTAGCACAGCTGAATCAAAATATGCATTCACAAGAGGCATATCAGAATCTCGTTATTTATATGCTGTGATGCAGCTGTCCCGAACAGTGATGCTGAGTCCTAGGGTGGGGCGTAGCTTTCCCAATGTTTTCTGGGTGTTTTCTCTCTCCATCTCTGCCCAAGTTGTTGCAAATCCATCAGCACTGAAAGAACCAAGTTTTCCTTTTGAAGCCTTCCAAGCTGCCCAGAAACCCAGCTGTCCCTCCCGTGCTCTTCCTTGTGGAAGCTTCCCACAGATCCCTGGGGATATTGAAAGACATGCCTGAGCACCCAATGCTTCAAAGACTTTCTGAAACATCGGGTGATCTTGCAAGATTTTGGTTCAACCCATTCGTGCTCAGCAGTTTCCAGAGAACTTCCTGAGCTTAAGGACCAGATGTAGACCAAGCTGGGTGCTTTTGTTGCTAGTCCGGTTGCTTGTAGCACCTGTGTTTAAAGTGGGCCATGGTTTGCTTCCTTTGCTTGCTCTTTAGAGATGGGAATTGGGCATAAAACACACCCTCCGTTTGCATAAACTGTTCCTGCAGCCTGTGCTAGTTGCAGCCCATCTCTCCACCTGAAAAGAAAAATATGCAAATTGCAACCCATTTCATAGAATCGCAGAATAGTAGCGCTGCAAGGGGCCATGAAGGCCATCAGGTCCACCCCCTGCTGTTGCAGGACACCGCGTCACAGCATCCCACTCAGGTGGCTGCCCAGTTTCTCCTTGAATGCCTCCAGTGCGGGAGAGCCCACCACCTCTCCAGGCAGCTGGTCCCACTGCTGTATTGCTCTGACATTGAGGAAGCTTTCCCTGATGTCCAGCCTGAACCTGGGTTGTTGCAACTTGATTATTCCGTGTCCCACGCTCTGGCATCAGCGAGAAGAGATCTTGACCTTCCTCTTTGTGGCAGCCTTGGAGGTGCTTATAGAGGGATATCACGTCCCCCCTCAGTCTTCTCTTCTCAAGGCTGAACATGCCCAGTTCTCTCAGTCTCTCAGTCTCTCAGTCTCTCCGCACAGGGCAGTGTTTCCAACCACTGGATCATTTTTGTTGCCCTCTGCTGGACCCTTTCTCATTTTTATGCCTCTTCCTTTGAAAAGCAAGAGCCTCTTTGCGCTGCCTCAACTTACACTGGAGCCAGTTGCAGTACTGGTAAACGGGCTGGAACTGGCAGTGGGAGTTGGAGCCAGTCCTGTCCACCAGTTTGTGTCCCACCCATCCAAGCGGATTCTTCAGGCATCCATACATAGACGTTCTCTGGTCTGCTGCTTAGAATCTGTTCTTGAAGTATGAGAAGTGGAAGAATGCAGTCAAAAGATGGGCTTGGCCACCTTGTAAATTTCAGTTGTTTATGTTCAGATCTTTTACTCAACGAAGCACGTGGTGACGTTGTGTGCAGAGTGGGGGAATCCCTGCAGGGAAAACACCCCGCTGTCTCTGGTACTTGGGATCCGAAAGGCCAGGGGCAGGCGGCATCATTAATATGAATATCACGTTGCATTCATGTCCCTCTTACTTTCTCTTGTAAGGAACCCCAAGGCAGTTTACAGAGTTCCGCTTTATCTTCTCAACAACCCTGTGAGGTAGTTTAGGCTGAGAGGAAGTGGCAGGTCCAAAGTCCCTTAGGAAACTTCATGTGCATGTGGGGACTAGATGCTGGATCACCCAGGTCCTTCATCCAAGACTCTAATCTTGGGTTTCTTGCAGGAAAAAAGGTGGGGTGTAAATATAATAAGTTGGTAATGGTTGAAATGGCTCTCCTAAGAATTAGTTACACCAGAATATCAAGATGTCAGGTTTTTTGCCTTGCCCAGAGCTTCTCTGGAATGGAATTCAGCCTGTTGGAATTTGTCAGTAAGCAGAGTTTTGGATACGGGTCTCCTAGACCAAATTTGATGCTGCTCACTATGGCATCCTGGAAAATCTTGACGTATATTCAGCATCATGTGCACTGTTCAGTATAGCACGCACAAGCGGGTTCATAATACTGGGGGTGATTCCTTGAAAATAGCCGTATGTTGCCTGGACTCAAAGACAAAGTTCTCACTGACCTTCCAAAGGAAAAGATAAGATTGGTGTTCTGCATCTAAACTCCCGTAATTGTTTTTGTTTTTCCTGCAGGTGGGAAGTCGACCCAGACTATTGTGAAGAGGTTAAACAAACTCCACCCTATGACAGAGGGACCCGAGTTTTGGATATCATGGATATGACCATCTTTGACTTTCTCATGGGTATGTTCCTCATCTGTTTAACTGAAATGGCACTCCTGGAAATTGAGCAGGATCAGGGGCAGCACGGGAGGAAAGCCACACCCCCAGCAAGGTCTTCTGGAGGACACAATGCTCAGTGCAGGCACAAAATGCCTGTGCTTATTTTGTCTCTGTCTTCATCATCCCTCCACTCCTGAGTGCTTGGAAGAAACCAGAAAATAATAAAATCCAAAGGTGCAAAAGAAAAACATAAGCGTTAAAGAAAAGAATGAGGGGGGAAATAGCATCGGTGTGAAGCAGTTCTGTTTCCTGGCGAAAGCGGGGTCAGTTTTCCCCCATTCCCCAAACTGGCAGCAGGTTCCCTGCTGGGGACGGGGAAAGAGACCTTCCAAGACGTGCCAGCTGTCCACATGGCAAGGAGCCCTTCGACTGCGTGTCGAGGTCAACGTCCAGCACCCCAAAGCACAGCCTTCTCTTTCATTTGCTGCTTTGACGGGGACTGGGTTGGACATCTGCACCCAGCCAGGGCAGTTCTTTGACCCTAGACATTGTTGGGGGTCCATAGCATAAGTCAGATTGCCAGATCCAAGAATGGACTGCCTCTCCAAAGTCGGGAGCTGGACCTCAGAGAAGGGGTAAAGGGGGCATTTCAGGGGGCAGGGAGAGGAGGAAGCTGGAGCAGCCAGCATCCAAGGTCTTCTAATGGCACCCCAGCCTCCTTCCCTCCTCTTCCGAAGCATCAAGTTGACATGGAGAGTGGGAAGCCTGGTGCAGAGTCTTTTCTGGATACTCAGAGCCCTCCAGGTTCAGGGCTTAAGCACATCAAGGTTTAGGATGTCACCTCCTCGGTGATTTTAAGGTAACCAGCTCCTGCCGTGCAGTAATGAGCTGTTGGACTGATTTTCCATCCAGCCATGCTTGAGAAGGCACACTTAGTCACTATTTGGCATGCTGTGACTCTTTCCATTTCTTTTCCATGCAGGCAACATGGATCGACATCACTATGAAACCTTTGAGAAGTTTGGAAATGAAACATTTATTATCCACTTAGACAATGGAAGAGGGTAATTGTTTTAATGGATTCTGATGGCTCCTTGGCGTACTTTGACTTTACTTGAAGGGCTCTTCAGAAGCCGCATGAGTTCTTCAGGGCAGGATAACAGAGAGAAGGTGCAGAACCTCAAGCCAGGCAGCCGGATCTGACCTTCCAGGGGCTCCTCCCTGGTTCCCCACAGGGTCACCTTTGGACTAACGCACGTGATATATGCCCGATGTCCAGAATTACATTTGCATGCTTATTTTGCCAGCTGGACTCATCAACTGTGCAGTTGGCGATGGAAAAATTCCACCCATATTAACTTGCGTCTCTTTATGCAGTGGTTAAAAAGCTCCATGAAGGCTTAAATTGATTTGCCGTGATGCCTCTTGTGTTCATTTCCCTCTTCCTTTGCATTTCCCTGGCAGGTTCGGAAAATATTCCCACGATGAACTTTCTATCTTGGTGCCTTTAAACCAATGCTGCAGGTATGCCTTTCCGTTTGTCGTGATGTGGGTGGTACAACTGGAGAGCATGGATTGGAGTTTTGTGCAGTTCTCCTTTTGGCCCCAGAAACCCATTGAAGTGCTCCCAAACCCGTTGCAGACTGGAATGCAGCAGTGGTCCATAACCTGCACGTTTCCCATCACTGAACTTCAGATTGTCCTTGTTCAAATGCATGCGTAAAATGCATAGGTCAAGAAAGCACGCGTGCAAAGTCTGTATGTTGGGAAGGTCTGCGTGCATTTGGAATGTATGTACGTGTTTGGAGCACTGCCTCCAGAAAAAGCCCATGCATGAAAAAATTGCATGAAGTGGGGACAGATTCATTGGTCTCTAACCAAAACAGTGTGAGTGCTTTTAGAACCAGGCCGGGGAAGAAGGGGAAAAGATATTTAGTGGATTTACAGGGAACGACTGTGCCTCATTGACCATCTGTGTTCAGGACCTGTGTCAGTGAACCAGAAGCTCAAATGTAGCTTCATGTCCACCCAGGAAGTGATGGAGGAGGTAGAGCTGATGACATTGACTGGGTGGGGAAAGCATTTTGTAAATCTCTCCCGTAAAATAGAACATCAGAGATAGCTCTTCACTGAATTCCTTCTGGCTGGCCCCCATCTCCTAGAGTGAGCAACCAGAACCAGGAAGGAACAGCCTTCTCCAGCTCTTTGGTCTCCTCTGGGCACTGGGTGGAGATATGCTGAAGATATTCCAGACCCTAACTAACTGTGTGGGTCCTTTCTTCTCCCCTTCGTTACCTTTGTGGTGTTCCCCAATTCACCTTGTAAGCCCTATTCTCCCATATGTTCTTTTAGAAAATGAGATTGTGCCTCTTTTGAGATCTCAGGTTATCTGATCCTTCCTGAGCGTACATCATGTGCCTTTCATTTGGAACATCGGAGTTCCTGGAATAAACAGTGGACTTGCATTTGTCTTCTTAGAGAACACCCTGCTTTGCAAATGGGTGCAAGCGAAGAATAAAAGCAGGGCCTTTGTTAGATCGAAGGACCCATTCGTCCAGCAGTCTTTCTCCAGAGTGTCTAATTAGATGCAACCTGCAGATCCAAAAACAGGGTTTGGAGGCAAAAGCCTTTTCCTGCAGCCCAGATGATGTGGTCCTCTGCTCGGCTCCAGCGAGGTTCTGTGTATCTTCTCAGCACCTTGTTTAACCTGCAAACTTGGCACGCTACATTGCAACATGGAGGTTCCATTTCTCAGATTATGTTTCAGATTCAGGCTTTAGGCCTGGTGACTTGAGGTCAAAAAAGATCCAAACTTTGGGGTTGGGAAAGGGGATGAGTCTAAGCTGTAGTTCAGAGTGGACAATCAGTGTTTCTCCAGATGCTTTGGCCTACAGCTCTCATAATTCTCTCCAAAACGGTCCACCCTACCCTGATTTGCAAAATGTTCCAAGGTGGGCCAGACTAATCCGAAGTGCTCATGGGAACTCCTGTGGTTGCTCCCACATACATAAGAAAAAGAGAGAGAGAAGCCATTTCATATCACATCTTGATGAACTATTTGAACCGAGGAAGGTTCTGCCATGAGAGTCCCCTTGTCCTATCAAACTTGGGACTCTTTATTATTGGCTAGAGAAACGGGACTTCGTATAGATTTAAGTATGTTTCTAAGTTATCATAAATGGAAAAAATGTGGGGGCTGACCCAGCAGGTCCGATGTTTCTGATGATTGATGTTGCTTTTAGTTTTTCTTTGTTTTAGGCTTATTTTGAATAAAACTTATTATTAAAAAAAATTTAAAAAAGAGAGCCCCCTTGTCAATGGTCCAAAGTGGCTCAGCCCAGACAAAGGCGCACAGTTTTAGCAAAGGACGTTGACCTTTCAGCAAGGCTTCCTATCTGACCCTTCTTTCATGTTCTCCTTGCCTACTGCCCTACATCTCTCTCACACACTCTCTTTCTCTCTTCCTTCCTAGAATACGGAAGTCCACCTATCTGCGCTTACAGCTTTTAGCCAAGGAGGAATACAAACTTAGCCACCTGATGGAAGAGTCCTTGCAAAAGGACAAAATTGCGCCCATCTTGTACAAGCTGCACCTCGAGGCGATGGACCGGAGGCTCCGGCTGGTGCTGAAGGCCGTCAGTGACTGTATAGAAAAAGAGGGTTACAGCAACGTGGTGGAAAATGACTTTGCGTCCGACATGAACACTGTTACGACCAAGAGGTAGTGAAATCACAGGACCCCTTTTATTAGCTCCAGTGAAGAAGAAGAGAGAAACCTACAGCAAAACCAGAACAGTCTTGCAAGAGACTGTGTGTGCCACTTTGTGAATTCAGTGAATTCAGACTGCGATTAAAAGTGTTCTCAAAGTAGCTAAGGCGTAGACTCTGCAAAGGGACTGGGTTGAGGGCAGGCGCCGGAGGCCTCTCAGACACGCGGGATCTTGATGGCTCGTGGGAACTCCCCGCGGTGGCAGCGGAGGGGGCTTGGTCATCGCCGCGGTTTCCCTACAGCCCCACCTTCCTCTGGCTGTGCTCCTTTTCCCGTTGCCTGTGCCGGAACGACCCACTGAGAACAGAGCTCTGGGCACGCTCTGCCTCAGGCGGTCAAGCCCGTCCCCTCCAGACTGACACGCACATGTGCGCACGAGTGCACACTCACGTCCACAGGGGTGCAGCTTACCCAGAACCCGGGGAGGGGCTTTCGGGAAGTCAAGGCTGGAAATTGTGGGGTGCCAGTTGTCCCTCTTCGGGATAGGTGACCGTACGGCTTGGGCAGACCCTTGTACTTAGCACCACGCCTTTGGGAAGGAATTCCCCCACCGGGATCCAGAACATATTTGGGAGGACTCACAGATGCCACCGGGCTCCCAGCAGAACGGGCTTCTCCCTCTCCATGCATCACACCTGTGCTCTCTCTCACACGCACACACACACACACACACGTTTTCATTTGTACAGAAAGCAGATCTTTATTTAATGTTTTGTATTTATACAGAAGAGAGTTATGTTTTTAAGAAATGAAAACCTGCCCATTTTTCTTTCCCAAAGAAGAGAGACCAGGTTATGTCTGCAGCTCACCAACTGTTCTAGAAGGAAATCCGTCTGCCGCGAGTGGATGCTAGTGCAGCATTTCTGTGGCTATTGAAGTTAAAGTTTGGGGATCGTGTGTTTCTGCGCTCTCCTAATTCACAACCACATGGAAAACCGACGCAGCAAGGGGGATGCTCGGTTAGCGAGATGCAGCCAGGTATGGGTGCGGGGAGTTCATGACATCAAAGGGACCTTTCCCACCTGCGCCTTGGAATGGTGCCACCACCGAAAGGTCCGTGCCAGATGTCCCCAGTATGGTCTCCATGTGCTCCGCATGTTTAACCTTCAAGGGGTGTTGGGCTCTGGCGTAGTTACGGGTGGCAGGAGCATTAAGCAAAAATAGGCTGGGTTTTTGGGCCCAAACTCTTTTACTTTTGGCCTCACCTATTTGGCCGTCAGCTCTGCCCCGCAGTGGGACATGGCCCTGACATGGCTTGCCAAAATCTGGGTTGGAAGAGGTTTTGCATCCCTGCTTTATGGGACCTTATTTCATGACTTCCCCTTCTCCAGTTTCCGGTGTGGCTTGGTGGAGAGAGGGTTGGCCTGGGACTCAGGAGATCTGGGTTCAAGTGCTCACTTGGCCGTGAAGCTCAGTGGGTGACTTTGGACCAGTCATGGAGTGTCAGCCGAACCTACCTCACAGGGTTGTTGTTGTGAGGATAGAAGGGAGAGGAGGAGACCCTCATAAGCCACCTTGGTGTTCTCACAAGAGGAAGAAAGGTGGGTATAAATGTCGTGTACTAATAATAAATAATATTCAGCCTTTGAGAAGGAAGATCTCTCAAACCAACCCCGTTCCCCGTTCAAACAAGAACCCGTCCAGCCGCACGCACCTTTCAGCGACGTAGTCAGAAGAGGGTTTTGATAATTTGTGCACTGGCAGGAATACTTGAATGTGGTTTTACAAAGTGATGTAAAAAAAGCAAATTGTACTATTTATCCATAAGAAGGTAGCAGCTCTTATCTTTCTAGGCTGTCGTAGCGGAGCTGCTGCTTTCCCGACTTTGCTTTTGATAGTTCCGTGTAAATATATACATATACGAGTTCAAACCATTGAGGAGGAAAAAAAAAACAAAAACCAAGAAGCTGTTTTCAGCAATGATAGACTTACTTTTGCAGCATTTTTTGGTGGATTTGTTTGCAATGTGGTCCCAGTGCAATAAAAGTATGGCAAATGTATAGCCAGAAAGTCTGTGATTTTTATTTTTACTGATTTCAGAGGCTGCGTTTGCTAAGGTGGGTACAGAGCCTCAGGCTGGGGGCCAAATCTGGCTGCCTGGATTTCCTAGTTGGCCACGCGGATTCCTCCAGACTCTCCATATAGTATATAATGTTCCCTTGTGTCCATTCCCCCCCCCCCCGCCCCGTGAGTGTGTGTGTTTCCCCTTCTAATAGGTCACCCCTCTCTCTCCCAGGGCTGGAGCAACAGCAAGAGCTTTAAGCTAAAATGGGCTGCCATGTTTTATATTTTGGCCTCACCTCAATCACCTTTTCCCTCACCTGTCACGGCAACGCAGCCCCAAGGGCTTTTCCAGGCGGGATTTTGGCCCCCGGGCTGAGAGAGGTTCTGCCCCATGGGCAAAAAGCTCTGCTTGCTCGCACGGGGCAGAACAGGCGGCCTTCCCCGGCTGCGACCACAGCTCTGCTAGCTTCACACCTGTGTGGCGGGGCAAGAAAATGGGGACCAGGCTGCCAGTGGCGATGCTGCTGCCGCCGCCTCCGGTTGTGGCGACCCGAAGAAGCAACAACCCACCAGAACTGGAGGAAGCTGCACCGGTTGGAGCAATGGCTGAAGCCTCTGGGGAGGAAGGCAGTGGTGCCAGCCCCCCAGTTTCCAGGGGAGGCTGCTGACAGCCTCACCTGGGACAGGTCATCTTTTGAGCTTTGCAGGTGCCACTGGTGCCTCGCAGGGGCGAACCCATTTTGGGGGTGTGAAGTGCTGCTATGCAGAAGGGCACGTACGCAAGCAGGCAATGCGGGTGCTCGGGGTGAATCTGCACAAGTAGGCGTGGCCATGTGGGACCCATGGCAGGGGGGCGACGGGAGGGAAGAGCCCCCAGAAGCTGCTGCTCAAGAACTGGGTGCGTTCAGTCTCGAGAAGACTGAAGGGAGACAGGAGAGCATTCCCCAAGTCCTTGAAGGGCTGTCCCAGGAAGTATCTCTCGTGGATCATCCCAGAACATGGAATAACAGACCCAGAAGCTAGATTATGGCTAGATACCGGGAGAGATTTCCTCACTGCTCACAGGGAGGTGGCGGGCTCTCCCCCACCGCAGGCATCCAGGATGCAACTGGACAGCCATCCGAGAGGGATGGTTTAACTGGGAGTCCTGCACCAGCAGGGGGTTGGATCCGATGGCCTTCTTGGCCCCTTCCAACTCTACTCTTCTACGATTCTATGAATGCTCAAGGGCACAGAACTACTCCCAGGATTAAATTTCACCTTAGATGTTCCCTGGCAAGAGCCTCCCACGCTGAGGGCATCACGTCCACCTTTTCATGCCAGGTTAGCACGGGAAGATTCAGTCGCTCCAAAGGGGTGTCACTGTTGGTTAGATCAGCAAGCCATGAGCTGTGGGAGATTAGCATGACGGAGTGAAGCATCCCTTTCTCAGCTCGGCACACGTCTCCCCGAAGGAGGGGAAAGTACTCAACTGCCATTCCGCACAAGAAGGCCTTTAAATCAACACTGGAGAGTTCAGTGAAACTCCGATGGATGCAAGAGAAGTTCATTAGAGACGCAGGGCTAATAAGATTTACTGCCACAGTTCACGGCTGGCCTGTTTTCTTACAGTGTAGGAATAGAAGGGAGATGGTCCTGAAATGTTTGCAGGCACAGCTGAAGATCTCCACCATGAAGGTTTGTCTTCCACAAAAAGCACTGTCATGTGAGCCCAGATAGAGTGAATTTAACAAAATCCAGACTTCCCTCCTTTGTCTAATCCCTTTTCTTTTTCTCTTCTTAAACCCATTCAAGGCACCATTTTGGCTCAAGCTGACAATTCTGTTAGACTTTTATGGGTTCACCCCAAGAAACAGTCTTATTAAGTATTCTGTACTGAACCGAAAACTGCCTTTCCATATAAACAGTTCTGAACTCTCGCCAAGAAAGCAAAGGGGCACTTGAAATCTCTTGCCCCCCGAAGTCTGCAATTAGGCGCTTTTGATAAATAAAGCTAAATATCTCCTTCAGCAACCGAGGGCATAATTCCCTCTATAAATAGGCCATTCTGTTGATGTTTTAAACAATCCTTCTTAATCAGTAAAGTCCATGGCAGTTTTATAAAACCTGGATTAAGTTCCATTATATTTTTTGACTGCTTTATTCATCCCTGAACGGTTTTGCCGGTTCTCTCAGCTCCTTACTGAAAGCTATTCAAGACTTATTGTGATATGCCTTGACGTTTGTCTCACTCCATTTATTTATTTATTTGTCTAATGTTCCATCGCATGAGAATTCTGCGTTTCAAAGAAGTCTCCTTGAAAGCCTCTCTGGAGCAGACATTCTTGGTTATTTTAGCAGAAGTCATTTTTAACCTGCGTTTCCGTTCCTTTAGTCTGAGGGAACATGATGGAACTGAAGCTAAGCACTTCTGGGACTGAGCAATACCTGGATGGCTGAATATCTGGAAATGCCACACATGACGCCTTGAATTCCATGATGGAAGAACTGCAAGCCTTTCGTAGCAGCTGAAACACTGGGCTTGCACACAGCAGATCTGGGTTCTAGTCCTCATGCATCCGTGAAGTTCTCTGGGTGACTTTGCTGACTCTGAGCCTAAGCTATCTTGCAGGGTTGCTGTAAACCACTCTGAGCTCCTTACACGAAGATCAAAGCCAGAGCATAAATGTAACAATAAAATAGAAGTATTCCTATTTCCTATGGAATCCCACTGTGCCCAGGGCAATCCATTCTCTTCTTTCTCTTGTCTTTTAATACCAACATTGTTCCTTGACAGCCAATTTGGTAGGTAGTTAAAATGTTGAAGTGGACCCAGGTGACGCACCAGTCAACATCAGTGAGGCTGTGTAGCCACTCTAGGTGGTAGCCTGCACGTTTAAGAAGCCATCAGTTGAGCTGCACCTAATTTGGGGATAGGGTCCCCCAGCACAGGTCACTCCTTGATGTTCCAAGCCCCAGGTTTAGTCCTGAAGTTTAGAAGTTCAGACTAAAACCCAGAGCGGTGCACCCCCCACTAATGTTGCAGCCCCAGCCCTGCTTGCCGGTGGATATTCTCATGCCACATCAAGGTCCTTAGAGATTATCTCACGAGTTCTTCTTCCCAAAATAGCTGTATTTTACCATCCACATTCTTCCCCTCTGCCATCTGCCGTGTCTCACATTTAAGTAAGATGCAGCATAAAGTTACTGTGACTGACAACGATCTTCATCATCGGGGTTGCTGAAAATTGCAGCCTAGGCCCTCCTGCCCCATTACCTTCCCCAGGCAAAGATCCACTTGATTTATTGAAAACTGCAATATACATCATCCGGTATGGAGCTCGAGGCATGCCGCAAGTATTATGGATGCAGCCCTGATGAATGATGAATAATCTTCTCTCGCTGCACAATCCCAGCTTTGCCACACGTCGGCTCAAAGGGACTCGCTGGCCGGGACACTGAAGTCCTATCTGAGCCCAAGCAATTATTTATTAGGGGATTCTGGAAAGGAAGGGCCTGCACCTCTCTAGAGCTTTGCAAAGAATGCGCATGCATATCTTTACAGCACAGAGTCTGAATCGTGTTACCTGTGAGCACCTGCACCTCAGCTTAGGCCCAGTGACAACCATGACTCCCCTTCATTACCTACTCAAGGAGGTGACTACAGGTACGAAGCCTCTCCTCTCTGCATGAGACACCCCAAGACTCAGATGCCGGAAGAAAGAAATCTGCAGAGAAAGGAAGGAAGGAAAAGGAGAGCACAAAACTGAGAAGAAAGATGACTTAGTTGCTGCAAATCTTTACCTTGGTGTAGCTACTTATACTTGGACGAAGAAGCAGTGTATCTCCCTAACATGGGCAACTTTACGGAAAATGTGTATGTGCACTTTTGGAAATGACTATTCTAATTTCTGTACCCAAATGCGTCAACGTAGTGGGGGAAGATTCTAACCAGATGTGTTGGAAGATGTGCAGCTTTTTAGCTGGGTGCCCAAGAGGCCCCTGGACTCTTTCACCTTATGGGTCCCTCCTTGCCTCTAAGCGGGGCATGGTCTAGCTGGACCTTCAAAGAAGGGGATGCTGGGTCAGCTTCGAGGGTCGGCATCCTTGCCCACCTGTCAAGGGCCCACGTCTCAGTGGGGCCTACCAGCGTGAGGACCTGGGAGCTGCCCTGCCTCTCCTCCAGGGCAAGCAGGAGGTGGTGAGAAGGCGGTCCCTGCAGAAGACACCCCTGATGACTTGCTTGTGGCTGCCTGCCTCGGAAGCGAGCCAGTGGCAGCACGGATGGGAAATGGAAGGGCAGCGGGTGGCCACAGCAGTGCAGAGTGGGGCTTGCCGAGGAAATGACCTCTAGGAGGGTGGCTTGCTCAGGGGTCCTGCAACACCTGGAGCACCTTCAGCATTTCTGTTCCAGAACTTCACAGCCAGCTTGTATTTAAACCTTCTAATTGCTTTTAGTTTGTTTGGTTTTTTTGATGCCACATTTTGATTTGATCGCTTTGACAGTTTTAATCATTGGGTTCTTATTTTTACTGTTTTGATGGATTTCATCTTTCTAGTTTCTGCCTTACTGTAAGCTGCCCAGAGAGCCCTGTGGGCTATGGATGCGGCATATAAATGTAATAAATAAATTATAAATAGATGACAATATGACTGATTCGGAAATGATGTGCACCAACTAGGGGAGGGGCTTCCTAGGGAGCAAGGAAGCAAAACTATGTCCATTAGCCAACAAATCCTGAAGAAGAATGCATGCTTTATTTGCTTCCTAGGGAGAGAGGGCAGATGAGGTGGAACCATCTTGATTCCCTTGGGACGCCAAGCCCTCTCCTTCTTCTGTTTGCTCAGGGGAATCAGGATCCTGCTGAATCATGGCATTGCATCTGGAAGGGGGCCTGCTGCGTGCCAGAGTTCAGACGCCATGACCTCTCTGGACTCATCCAACATCCTAGACACTGCACAAACCAGTCCTTCTGGTTTCCATCTGGCCCTGGGCCTGCACAGATTCCAGTCAA